CCAGCCAGTGGTGTAGTGGAGAAGACGGCTGGATCCGCATGGCCAGCGGTGTGGTTCCAGGCCCGCACCCAGCAGCTTGAGAAATACTCTAGACACGTGTGTACGTGCCCAGAGTCCCCAGAGGAGGATGGAGGTGAAAGGATCGTGGTGTCACCATCCCCCCAGGGGTGCTTTCTCACTTTCTCTCTCTCTTTCTCTGGCAAGTGCATATGCCCTCCGACAAATTAAAAGTAATAAACTAAAATAAAGCGCTTCCCGTGTGCCGACATTGTCCCAGGGTCTAGCATATGTTAACCCGCTGACTCCCAGCAGCCCTAGGAGGCTGGTACGATTATTATCTCCAGTTTACAGATAACAGCACCGAGACCGGGTGCAGCGAGGAGCCGGTGGTTCGGCACAGTCCGTTCTCACGACGCTTTTTCTCGCTCCGCTGTGTCTGTGAGCCTTGGCGATGACCCCACCGCACAGGCACCATCGTGTTAGAACGAGAACGCAGTAGGCTCAGAGAGGCTGGGATACTCACCCAGGCGTGCACAGCTGGGCCAACCTGCCAGACCCCGGAGTGTGTGTTCTCAACCCAGGGTGCCACACTCAGGGGCCAGGCTGTCACACACAGAGGAAAGCAGCCCGGGTGACCGAGTCGGAGGGCCTGTGCCCACCATTCCGTTCAGGCCGCCTGGGGGACCTTCAGGAGTACAGGCTGGCGTGGGCTTTTCTTTTGTGTGTTTCCCCTGGGGAAGCTAGGAATTTCATTTTTATTTGAAATCTGACTTAAATGTGTCGGCCCGTCATTAAAAATGGGCAGCATTGTATGGGTTTAGAGAGGAAAACAGAAGAACAGCCCCATGCGTGGGCCAGACTTGCCTCCTGACCTGTTTAACGGTTATGTCAGTGGCCGGGAGCTGGGGAGTTGAGGCAGACATCCTGGAGATGGCCGCCTTCAGCCAGGTTCACTTGGAAAAGCAGGCCTTCAGTAATTGGAGTGTGTGATGGGAAGTCTCCCTGCCCTCCAGCCCATAATCCTTTCATTCTTCCCTCATCTTTGCCTGGGGAATTGCTCCAGCCTTCTAGCCTTAAGCTCCATCACCGCCTCCAGGAAGTCCTCCCTGACATCAGCTGCATAAACTGCTAATCTCCTGTTCCCCTCCTCCCTGCAGCCTCCACACTCTCCCAGCTCTCGGACAGTGGGCAGACCCTGAGTGAGGACAGTGGCGTGGATGCTGGCGAAGCAGAGCCCAGTGCCCCAGGCCGAGGCAGACAGACGGCATCCACCAAGAGCAGGAGTAGCAAGGAGCCACCTCGGAATGAGAGGACTGCAGAGGGGGCCCAGAAACCGGTGAGCTAGCAGCAGGGGTGCAGGGGCCTGAGGGGGAGGCAGGCCCAGGAGGGAAGCGGGAGGTCCTAGGCCAGAGTGCAGCTCCGTGGGTGACCACCAGGGGAAGTAGTGAGCCCCTCTCACTGGAGGGTTGGGAATCAGAAAGAGCCTTATACCCAGCATCTGGAGCCCAGTTTAAGTCCACCTCTGGCACCCGGTGGCTGAGACAGCAGGCTGCGCTCAGGACTCTTGATGGTCCCCTCTGTTCTGACGTAACCTGGTGGCTGAGACAGTCTGCAGTCAGACAGGCCTGGACTCGAGTCCTGATGCCACCACCAGGCAGCCTTGGGAAGCTCCTTAGGTGTTTGTGGGGATTAGAAGGCCGGGGACACTGAGTGCTTAGCTTAGCGCCAGGCACCCCTGAGGCTCCCAGCACGGGGTTGGAGTCACCGCCAAGGCCTCTGGCCAGGCTGGCTCCTGAGAAGGCCTCAGTGGTGTCTGCCCCTCTCCTCACGCCCGCAGCCAGGGCTCCTTGAGCCCACATCCACTCTGATCCGCGTGAAGAAGAGCGCAGCCACGCTGGGCATTGCCATCGAGGGTGGTGCCAACACCCGCCAGCCTCTGCCCAGGATCGTCACCATTCAGGTATGTCCCCAGGGGCCTCACTCGGGCCTCCCCGGAAGGTGACCCAGCACCCGATGGCAGCCCCAAGCTCGCATCAGCTTTACTCTGTGAAGCCTGGTATGCCTGGCCCGGGTGGTGGATTCCCAGTCTGCAGCGCGGCCTGCAGTGTTGAGTGGTCAGAACCAGGCCCACCTCACCCCGGGTGCCTCGTGTGACCCCGTCCTGTGTTCCCCTGCAGCGAGGCGGCTCGGCCCACAACTGTGGGCAGCTCAAGGTGGGCCATGTGATCCTGGAAGTGAACGGACTGACGCTCCGGGGCAAGGAGCACCGGGAGGCCGCCCGCATCATCGCCGAGGCCTTCAAGACCAAGGAGCGTGACTACATCGACTTTCTGGTCACTGAGTTCAACGTGATGCTCTAGGGGCTCAGTCCTGAGGGTCTCCTGCCACTGCCCAGCCCCTGCTCCTGGCCTCGCCTCCCTCCTGGCACCATTGGGCTCCTTGAGGGATCAGGGCTATATGGCCAGGGTAGCAGGAAGATGCACCCCTCCATCCCAGCCTGCAGGACCAGAACCAGGAGGAGAAAGCGGGCTAGGCACACAGATGGGCGAGCCAGGATCCGGTGCTGTGTCGGGTATACAGTAGGCACTCAATACAAGCAGGTCCCAACGGGGGGAGAAAGAAGAGGAAGGACAGAGTGCCTGCTTTTCCAGGTTGGAGGGGAGACTCAGCCCATCCCCGGATGCCCGAGCCTTTGTCTGGAGTGAGGTCACGTGAGGACTGATGGCCATGGCTAACCCCCACCAGGGGCATCTTGCAGGACCTTTAGTGCCACAGATAAGCATCGAGCACCCCCATCCACACCCCATTCCTCCCAGCTCCTTGTCCCCCATGGTATTTATTATTTATTTCCCTCCCCGCTCTCCTGGGGACCCCAAGGCCCCGGCTTCCCACCGCACCCCATCCTATCCCAGAGGCCTTGCAGGTGACCAGCAGCGTCAGTGTATTTATATACAGAGCTTATGACTTTAATTTTTCAATAAAGAAATCAGAACGAGGTCTGGCCTCTGTACTGCGTACAGTGCCTGTGTGGTCAGGGTTGACTGCTCGACATGGAGAGAGGGGTGGGTAGGACAGGGGGCGCACCCGGCCACTCTCTAATGCTGCCCCTCTGACTTGATTTGGGGTGCCCAGTGAGATGTGCAAAAGCATTTGCGTGACACCACATCTTGGTGCACCTTCCTCGAAGGTTGGAGGCCAAAATGGGAGTATATACAGATAGTATTTTGGGGGGTGGTTGACTGTTAGCTTTAGTTTTTTTGTAATAGATTGTGTGCACTTACCAGAGAGCGAGGGAGGGGGAAAGTGAGAAAGAAGTACCCCCAGGAGGAGTGGCCATGCCACAATCCCTTCTTCTCCATTCTCCTTTGGGATTTTGGGCACACATGCACATGCACCCTGCATGTTTTTCAAGCTTCCGGAGCCAGGATTTGACCCATACAGTCAGCCATGTAGGCTCCAGTCACCATAACGACTTCACCTTTGGCTGGCTCCTACACATAATATTTTTATTGGAACACACAGAGATGTTATGGGACCAAACATGCAATGTGCATGAGTGTTTGAAAACACAGACACAGCCCGTCTGAGGCCAGTTCCCAGAGCTGACAGCAGAGTGTGGAGGACAAGGCAGGGAAGGGGAGGAAGCCCAGGGAGAGATTTCAGACTGATCTCATAGGGATCCCCTGATCCCTGGCATGTGGGGCAGGGCCCCCTGCCTGTCAATCTCTGGACTGGCCTGGGGCAGAGGCAGTCCATCCCCAACCACTTCCTGCCTCTCCCACCTGCATGGGCCACCCTGTCCCAACAGTTAGAGACAGTGGGAAACAAAACACATGGGAAGGGGAAGGAAAAAAAGCTGGCAGGAAAAAAAAAAAAGACCTGCAGTATGGCCTCAGTGCCAGCCCCAGGCCCCACCTTCTGTCTTCAGGATTCGTTCAGTGGAGAACGAGTTTGAAGTCATGCTTGGCCTAGCCCAGTGTTCAGGAGTTTGCCAAAGCAGGGTTAGGGGGTCAGGTGGTTCCAAGGTCTTGTCCCAGATCCTGTTTTCTGTTGTTCCTGTTCCCATTTTAGTCCAAGCAGATCATCTGAAGCCAGAGCCACGGGCTCCCCTCTGAGAAGCTGGTCTCCTGAAGGCTCTGGCTCCCCTCCCTGCAGAGTCCCAATATCTGGGAGGGCATAGCCCCCACCTGGCTGCATGCAGGCTCTGTAGGGCCTCAGACTCCAACTCAAATCCTGTTGGTCATGGGCAAGTCATTTTCCTCTCTGTAAAGTGGGTTTAGTAAGCTAAGTTCCCATCTGTAAAGTGGGTTTAGTAAGCTAAGTAATGCCCCACCCCACACACACACCAGCCAGCCAGTTTTCCGTTGCCAGAACCTACAAACCTGTAAAAGGGACTTTGCAGGTGTGAGTAAGTTGAGGTGAGACAGGGAGATGACACCACATTATCTGGGTGGGTCGTGTATAATCACAAGGGTTTATGTAAGAGGGAGGAAGGAGGAAATTCGACACTGGGAAGGAAAAACCGCCTGAGGATGGAAGCAGATGGAGTGAAGTTCTTCAAAGCTGCAGGAAGGACCACAGGCCAAGGGGTGTAGATGGCCACGGGAAACTGAGAAAGGCGAAGAGATGGGTTTCCCTCTCAGAACTGATGCCTTGAGGGACCAGCAGTTAGCGTAATGGCTATGTCGCTGGACTCCCACGTAGTCAACTGTGGTTCGAGTCCCGGACCCGGTGGCTTAAACTCACGTCGGGCGCGTGTACGTGCATGCCCAAGATCCCGAGAGGAGAATGGAGGAGAAGGGATTGCGGCGTGACCATCCCCCATGGGGGGTGATTTCTCGCTTTCTATCTCTCTGTCTCTCTCTGTCTGTCTGGTGAGCGCACACGCCCTATAGCAAAAAAAAAAACCTCTCCAAAGGGAAAAAAGAAAAAAGAACTGATGCCTTGATACTAACCCTGCACAGGTGGGGCACCTGTCTTTATTTTTTGAGCCATTAAATGTCTTAATTTGTCACAGCAGCCATACAAATGAAACAAATGCAGTGGGGATACGGGGATCCTCCTTCCTGGTGAGGGTGGGGATCTGAGTGTGGGTTACAACACAGGCTCAGGGTCAGCCATGGGGAGGGGACCGTGTTGTGGTGCTGATGGCCTAGGAAGGTGGCCTCTGGCCTAGTGAATGCTGTGGATGGAAATAACCGCTGCAGAAATGATGATTAGCGTGGTTTATTACTAAGCACGAGATCGAATGGGCAACCCGGAAAAAGACAAGCGCATTTGTCGGGGTGCTGAGATACAGGGGTTCCTTTTACAGAGTTTGGAGGGCAGAAGAGTTGTCAACCAGCATGAGGAGTCTTCTACATTGGCCTGACTCCAAACGGTGGGACATCTGGAAGCTGAGGCTTATAGGTTATAGGTGAGTTTGAAGTTCTTAGATTAGTAATTGGGTAAAACACACACACACACACACACACACACACACACATATACACACAAGTCAGGGCCAGTAGATGACGTGGTGGTTAAGGTGCTGGACTCCCATATGACTGACCTTGGTTCAAGTCCTGGACCTGGTGGCTTGCTTTCTTACTTTCTCTTTCGCTCTGTCTCTCTCCTCTTTCTCTCTCTCTCTCTGGTGAGAACATGTGCTCTAAAGCAAAATTTAGCAAAATAATACTAAAATCTTAAAATAATTATTTAAAAAAACGCAAGACTCTGTTCCTGAAAGAAACCAGCCAAAGAGTCTCTGCACTTCATTGTAAGAGATAAGAAAGCTTCCTACAAAACCACAACGCCTAGGACAGGATGTAGAACGCACTATCAATGGCCTTTTTATATTTGTAGGCGTGACTCTCCCAGGTCCCTGGAAATGACTTCGGAATAGGAAAAGTAGCCAGAATTCTGTCCTCAACATCATACTGTGAAGGCTCATCATTGAACATCCATTCAGAGCAGAAAGCTCTCAGGCCAGTCACTGTCCTGCTCTGTACTCTGGGCCAGGTCTGAGTGGGCTTGCCATTTCCCTGGGGTCCAGTCCCCAGGGGATAGCCCCCAGCATTCTGAAAGAGTAGATGAGAGTTTCTGGGACCATGACTGCTGGGATCCCCAAGCCTGACTCTGGAACTGCAGCCCAGTGGGTGTGAAGGTCCTTCCAGTAGAATTTTAGTGCTAAAAAAGATTCCTTTGCAAGTGGGCTCAGTAAGGTCAAGCTGCAGTCCAGGGCACAGTAGCACAGCTCAGAGGACATGTTCCCCCCCCCCCCCCCAGCTACCTGTGGCCTGGGCCTGCTCTTTCCAACATGAAGCCCCAGAATGAGCACCTGTCCTAGTGTCTTTTAAAGGGGCCCAAAATAGTGAGCTAAAAAGACTTTGAATATAGAAATCAGGGAAGTCGTGTCCAGGCCACATGGACCTGTGTCCCTCATATTATTATTCATGACGGCCAGGCGGGAGGGGAGTGGGGGGGACAGCTGGCGAGCTTTAGTCTGCCCCTCTCTTATTGGAGAACCCTGGCAGATTCCACAGTGCACTAAGTCTCAATTTTTCTTTCCATCCAAGAATGTCAGGCAGGATGGCAGGCTGCTCAACTCCAGGGACACATTCGCTCCCATGACAGTGTAAACAGGCCGTGCCTTGAGCCCTTCCTGCCCTGACACTCTAGGGCCAGAAGATGGCAGGAGGGGGGCAAGTGTGGCTCCTGGGCTGCGGGCCTGCCCAGACAGGTGCTGAGTTGGTCCCGAGTCACCTGGAGGAATGGGACAACCCCATGAAGGGAACACAAGGACAGAGAGCAAGGCACAATGCAGTATCCACACCGCAGAGCCAGACTCCTGGGATCAAATCCTACATCCACCACTTTCTAGCTATGTGACCAGGGCCAAGTCATTTGACCTCTCTGAGCCTCTGCTTGCCCATTTTTCGATGAGGAGCATAATATTAATCCAACTTGCCGGTTATTGTAACGGTTAATGACAATGCTTGCCCCTTGCACACTGCCCTCAGTAAATGGAAGCTGCTGCTATGATTACCTCTGGACACCTGGCAGGGTTGACGGGGGCAGTAACTGGCATCCCAGAGAACTGCGAAGGGAACTGGTCTCCAACGCTATTGTGTGATAGGGTTGGTCCAGGAGCTCTCAGCTAGTGCCATTGAGTTACCCCTTACAGGTCTAGTCCTGTATTTGCTTACTCCCCGCAGCAACCCCATGGGGTAGGCGTTATAAATCCCATCGCCTGAAGTGCAGAGGTTGATCTGGGACCAGAGCCCGGGTCAGTTTGACAGCACACACCGCCATTCAGGGTGCGCTCTTAGATGGACAATGGGCTATTCGGGTCCTGTATTCACTGGGGGACCTTGTGCAAGTTCTTGGTCTGGTTCCCGAACTTGTCTGATGGGGAAGTGGAATAGACTATACTAGGGAGTAAGGATACCATCGAAGGAGCCTGGGCATAGGAAGAGTTCACAACGATGCCCGGCGCGTATTCAGGTCTCAGGAAAAGCGTGTTACTGTTGTTATCAGGCAGTCCATTTCAGCCATCAAGGTTGTGATTTCTTCCTCACGGTGGCTCTGTGCAGCCCTGCCTCAGTCTCCCAGTCTGCCGCAGGGCACCTTCCCTAAGGAGACGTGGCCTCCCAGATGTGAGACGCTCTGTCCCGGATCTGGGCTGCGGCGCCCCTCCTCCGAGCTCTTAGGGGCGGGACGCTGGCAGCCGCCTCCCCGAGATTGGTGGAGCTCCCAGAGGTCCCGCCCCAGGGCCGGCACCCCGACAAGGCGCCCGCCCCGCGCCGTCGCTGGCCCGCCTCGGAGATTATGCAAAGAGGCCTCCGCCCCGCCCCGCGCCCGGATTGGAGGTCTTTGTTTGCCGCTCAACTCCAGGAAACCGCCCGAGCGCCGCTGCCAGCAGGTGAGTCGTGGGGAGGGGCTCGCGATGGGTCCAGTGCGCGTCCGGCCCCTCTGTGGGTCTCAGTTTCTCGGTCGGGAGAATGGGGCGGGAAAGTGGACCAGGCCGATGGGCTCCGATCCACGGGGATTGAGCTGCTTTCGGTCTGCCCCACGTGGAAACCCCACACGCACGCGGAGACAGACCGCAGCTCCGGGAATGGGAGGGAGCCCTGGACAGGCAAGCAGGGCCGGAGTCCAGGCCCCGCCAGGGCGGGATTTCGCGGCCTCCACCCTCCGGCCTCAGTCTCCACCTCCGCACAATGGGGGCGTCGGCTCTCTGCTCTCCAGCTGGAGCTGACGGCAGGGAGGGGAGGGGTCCCCAGGGAGGCCGGACGTGGTCCTTGGCGGGGCCTCGGGCTGTTTTGACTGGAGGCGTGGCCTGGGTTACTGTGGTTACTGGGAAGGTGGGGCTTTTCTGTTCTGGGATTTGTGTGAGGTTCGCTCCCCCGGCAACAGCCCGCGCAGCCTGGCGGCTCGGAGCCGCGAGCACTCCCCGGACGCACAACGCAAGTTTCTTTTCCTCTTTTTGGCAGCGGGAGGGAGATAGAACAAGGGCCGTCGTGAGGTGGGCGGCGCCGACAGTGACAGGGCCTGGAATGGGCTACAAAATTAAGGTCAGTCCCCTTTACGTACACAGAAGTGACCGAGGCGCAGAGAGGGGCCGCGGCTTGTCCAAGGACGCACAGCAGGGAACCGTAGAGATGGCCTCTCCCCAGTTTGATGGAGCTGGCGCGGGCTGAGCCACAGCCAGCTTGCTGTGTGACCTTGGACGAGATTCTTCCAGGGCTCTTCTCTCGGGCTTTTGTTGAAAGGGCAGGTTGGAGCGGATCATTACCTACGATTAAAAGCCTCTGTTTCTGGGTGAGAACATTGGAAAGGAGAGGTGCCCGTAACACACCCGGGCTGTCTGGGAGCTGAGTAGAGACGCTGAGACGGGCTACAGTGAAAAGAGACATTGTTCTGATCTCTAGAAAAGACATGGGCTGAAACTGAAGCATGAAGGACTGACGTTAGGCACATACAGGGACTTCCCTAAAGAATTTTCCAGGTGCCTCCTTTGGGGCTCGGGGTTTTCATGTTGGACTGTTTTGTTTCATTTAGAAAACTGCCCATCTGTTTGAGAGAACTTAAATCTGATTTATTTACTAACGGAAGGATGGAACCTATGGTGTGTGAGGGCCTTGCTAGCTGGATTTATTCCCGGGAGAGGTGTCAGTTCTTTTGCTGGAGGGTCCCGGTGCCCACGTGGGGCCTTCACCTCCCAAATTCCAGCCGGTTTGCATTTGGCCATGCTTTGGGCTGTTTCTTACAAGGGGATTTCATCAGCTCCCACTGGCCTGCACTCAGCCAGAGGAGCCAGGGTTGGGGCGTCAGAGGCGGGGACGGTCCAGCACTGCTGTGATACTGTTATGCCAAGAGGATATTTTGGAAACTAGCACACAAACGTTTACCCCTGTGAGGGGGCAGGCAGGGGAGGGCTGAAAGAGTATTCAAAATGCCATCTGGCCAGGAGAGTGCCAGGTCCTCTATATGTTTCCTCTTCCTGGAAGGTAGCAACAATGTGAAGGAGGAGTTCAAGTCCCCAGCCTGGCTTCAGTTCTGAGAGTCTCAGTTTTCCCCTCTATAAAATGGGGGTGGCCACACCCACTTTAGTACCACTCTCCACGGGGGCAGCCTGATGGAAAGCTTTTGCTCCTCCCACAGTCCAGTGAGTGAGGAAACTGAGGCCCAGAGGAAGGAAGGGATGCTGACAACCACAGTACCACGGGTGCTAACGGCTGGTGTCTGAGTGCTGTGTTCACGCCACTGTGCCAAGGGTTTCATTGCAAGGAGTGAGTTGTGAGGGAGTGGCCACTCATCTGTGTTGTCGCTACGGACTCCCAGCGCCTGCGCAGAGCCCTGTAAGTAGCGGGTGCTCAGTACACTCTGGCTGATCGTCTGGATTATATTACTTTCATGACGTTATCTATTATGTGTGTGTAAGTAGGTGAAAGTGTGTGAGCATGTTTATGTGCATGTATGTGTGTAGGTATAGAAGTCAAGCCGGTTTCATGTTGTTAAAGAAGGTGTTATTGTTCCCATTTTACAGATGAGACTCTAAGGTTCAGAGAGGTCAGGTCACTCGACTATAGTCACACAGCTTCTGGCTGTGGTTAGGCAGTGCTTACACAGGGTTAGGCTAGTGCGAGGGTAGTCTGGTGCCATCTGTGAGACCTGCTCGTGCTGGTGGCCTCTTGGTTCTCGTCGGTGACACTGTGTTGGCAGCATGCAACTGGCCACAGTAAGGCACTCACACCTTGGAAATTAGTGAAGGCCACACAGAAGAGCTTTGCTCGGTTTTTTCTTTTGTTTTGTTTTGCCACAGGCCATGTGTGCTGGTCAGAGAGAAAGTGAGAAACGACCCTCCTGGGGGAATGGCTATGCCACAGTCCCTTCTCCTTCATTGTCCTCTTGGGATTGGGGGCACACACATGCACCTGGTGTGATTTTCAAGCCTCCAGGTCCAGCACTCGAATCGCTGAATCAGCCATGTGGGAACCCAGCACTTAAACTCCACGCCACCTGCTGGCCCGTGAGTGTGTTTTTAAAGACTGCTGCATGTGAAGAGTGTCAGAGGCTGGAAGGCCAGCCCTGCTTCTGCCTGGAAGCTAGGATTTGGGGACTTCCTGGCAGTGCAGGGAGCCAGGCCAGAAGGCCTGCACCCCGCTCCAGCTCCCTGAAGTGTGGGGTTGAGAGGGAAACCTTTGTGAAATGAAGTTATGCTATGCGGGGCAGCCACCCTCTGACTGGGCACGAGTGGGCGTGAGCCTGAGTTCCAGGCTGCAATCAACGTCTGGCCTGTAACTTTAAAGTGTTAAAGTGACGGGACCCTGGCTGGTCGCGGTTAGGCAGGAGAAAGGCCTGACCAAAGCAGTGGTCTGAGATTTATCCATTGTGCCGAGGGATTGGAGGGCGAGTCAGGTGGCAGCTGGAAAGAGGCACCGCTGTTGGCCTGGGTGCCAGGAGGAGCTCACAGCAGCACGTCTGTCTGCGGGTTGCGCTGTGCAAACACGCCCAGCTGCCTTACTACACAGGCCCCTGAGGTACACGCCACCCTCAGCCTGCAGATGAGGGTCTCAGAGAGGTCCAGAAACAAAACATCATAGTCTCAGGACCAGTGTTGGACCCTGGCCTTCTTCTTCCCACAGCCTCCCATTTTTAACTCCTCTGCCCCTCCTCCACCCCTGCCAACAATCCCAGCTTGGCTCTGGGCTTTCTTGCCAGTTCCAGCCAAGCTCCGGCTCAGCTGCCAGGCGAGACCCCCTGCTCCGGGGCTACTCCCACACCAGCCCCTAGGTCCCTGCCAGGGTGCCTGCTGAGCTGATTCTGGGGGAGGGGCCAGGAAGCAGGCCAGAGTGGGATGCCCAGCTGTCAGTCTCCTTGGTGTCCTGGGACCACAGCCAAGGACCAGGGATGCTGGGAGGGCTCAGGTCCAGGAAGCCCCCCTCAGCCCCCCTAAGTGAGGAAGTCATCTCAAGGGTAATGGATTATTTGTGAATGCAGCCCCAACTCTAGCTCTAAAGTGCTGTGTGACTTTGGGCAAGTCCTGTAGCCTGTCTGAGCCTTTCTTCATCTGTTAAATGCCTGATTGCTTATAAGGAGCCAATCAGACAGCACAGGCCTTTCCCTGGAGTTAAGTGTGGCCAAGGATGGGGGCTGCTCGCCACCTTTTCTTTGTGTGATTTTGACGTGTCCCTACATGTTGCCTGGTGGAGAGTAACACATAGCATCAGTGGTTAACAAGAGGAGGAGAGGGGACCAGCAGTCAGCATAATGACCATGTCGCTGGACTCCCACGTAGTTGACTGCGGTTTGCGTCCCAGACCCGGTGGCTTAAAACTCATGCCGGACGCGTGTGCGTGCGTGCCCAAGATCCCAAGAGGAGAATGGAGAAGGGATTGCAGCATGGCCATCCCCCCAGGGGGTGATTTCTCGCTTTCTGTCTCTGTGTCTCTCTCTCTTTCTGGTGAGGACACGCACCCTATAGCAAAAACCTCTCCAAGCAAAAAAAAATATACACACACACACACACATATATATATATATAAAAGAGGAGGAGAGGGTCCAGCAGGTGGCATGGTGGTTAAGGACGATGGACTCTCACATGGCCAACCTGGCGACTTACTTTCTCATTTCGTCTCTTCTCTCTCTCCCTGTCCCTCTCTGGTCAAATTTAAATAAATAAATAAATAAATAAATAAGAGGAGGGAAAGTATGAGCATTTCAGAACGTCAGCTACGTCAGCTGACATCAGAGCTGCAAAGGGCCCAACCACTCTTCCCAACCTTCCTGCCCAAGGCCTCATCAGAATGATGCACTGCACAGTTGTCAGGTGCTACTCCTATCTGTTTTCTTTCTTTCTTTTCTTTTTTTTTTTTTAATTTGCCAGAGGGTATGTGTGCTTGCTGGAGAGAGACAGAGTGGGGGGAGAGGAGAAAATATCCCCTATGGGAGGTATTCACACTGCAGTCCCTTCTCCATAACACCCCGCCTTTCAGATTTTTGGTACATGTGCACACATACCCAGTGTGGTTCTCAGGCCTCCGGTTCTGGGACCAAACCTCAGGCTCGGCCATGTGATCCAGCTGCCTTCACCCCACAGCATGGGTTGGTCCTGTTTCTGCTTTTTTAAGATAAGTAGATAATCATTTTATTCTTATTTTTAAAGCAACTATTATTTTTAGAAAATACATACGTAAAAAGGGTAAATTTGGGACCAGCAGGTGGTGTGGTGGTTAAAGTACTGGATCCCATATGGCAACTTAGTGGTTCGAGTCCTGGACCCAACTTGAAAAACAAGCTGGGCATGTGTATGTGCATGCCCAAAATCCTGAGACGGCCATGGGGGAGAAGGAATTGTGGTGTGGCCATCCCTTTCACTTCTCACTTTCCCTCTCTCTGGTGAGTGCACATGCCCTATGGCAAAAAAAAAAGAAAAAAAGATAAATTTGTTTAGTGACAATAAGCAAAAAAACATTCTGGAGCATGTCTTTCATTCTCTCTCTCTTTTTCCTTCTCTCTCTTTCATCTCTTCCTCTCCTCCTCCTCCATATTTTATTGTTTTTATTTCCTTAATGGACTCAAAGTAGATATATACTATCATTATTTTAATTTGCTAGAGGGTGCATGCCCTCACCAGAGAGAGGGAGTGGGGAGGGAAGGAGGGAGAAGGAAAGTTAGAAGCCACCCTCCTTGGGGAATGGTCACACTGCAATCCCTTTTCCTCCATTCTCCTTTCGGGAATGTGAGCACACACACACACACACACACATGTCCCAATGCGTTGGTCAAGCTGCCGGGTCTGGTACTCGAATCATGCTGTTGGCCATGTATGATCAGCTGCTCTAACCATGCCACTCGTTGGCCCAATACGTATTATTTTATAACTGGCTTGTTCAAAGAACATATCACAATTTTTAACATCATTTCCTATTCTTCGATAGTATGACCTCTGATACGTTCATACCATTCCTTTAGGTAAGAAATCATAATTTATTTCATTGATCCCCTATCACTGGACGCTGAGGTTGCTTCCAACCCTTTTACCTACTCGTGTTTCAGTCACAAAGTGATTAAAATCGTACTCTCTAGATTCAGACAGCTTGGCTCAAGCTTGGCTTCTTCACCTGTAAGATTGGCATCATAATTTTTACCTCCTTAGATTGATATGAAGATGGAATAAGGAGACCTTGATCCGTGCAAAGCTTCTTACAGGCTATTTGACACAGAACAGGTGTTCGGGAACACTGCTGTTGGCAGTATGTCCCTAGCACCTGCCCGTGTTTTCTCGTTTGACTCTGAAAAGAGCATGCCTTTGAGCGTATGTGTGAGTGTGTGTTTCCTCCACATAAGCACACCCTCCTTATAACCCACACTCATTGGCTGAGAAAAGCCTGTTTCCTTCCCTCCTCAACCACTCAGCATGGGGACACAGTTTCTAAGTGGGGTAGTGAGCCCTGGGATTGGTTTGGAGGCCATGGGAAAGAGGGTCACAGGGAGGTGGCAGCATTTTCCTCCACTGGGGAGGGCTGGCTCTCCCTTTTCAGGTTCGAGATCCACAGCTGGAGCTCTGGCTGACGCTGAGGAAGCTCCAGAGTCAGGAACGTTCAACTCCGTCGTACAGGAGCAGGCCATGCAGGTGTTATCACTGATAAGGCAAAGCCATCTATTTACAAGCAGTTACTTTGTGCCAGCTGGGACCCGGGGCCGGGAACTTTAGGCACTTATTCTCATTTATCATCCCAAGAACCTATAAAGTCAGCATTGCCTCCATTTTACAGAGAAGGAATCGGGTTCAGAGAGGTTAAGCCACTTACTCAAGGCCACACAGCTTCCAAGGAAGAACCTAGAGTTCTCTGTATGCCTGCAAGGTCCCCGTGCTGTGAACACCTGTGCCCTGCAGCCTCTCACCTGCGTGGCGTTTCCGCCTGTGTGGGCGAATGGAATAGAGTCCAGGAGGCTGCTGTTAGGAGATAATCTCTGACCATCCAGCCATAAGCTCGTTAAGCCCCCAGGTTCCAAAGCTCAGAGAATGGAAGACATTCATCCAGGTCACCAGGCTGGAACTTGGGTCCCCACACTTAGCCAGGCTTCCGTGGTTCTTCTTGATCCACTCTCGAAATCCCGACCCACTTCTCTCTCCCCAGCCTGGGCAGGAAGGAGTGGATGGCCTTCTGAGTGGTTTTCATTCCTTTCCCAGAGAAGAGGGAGAGAGGAGCTCAGGATGGGATGACACAGTCTCTGTCCCCATAGTTGTCAGCCTCTGTTGCCTGCAGATGGCTGAGAAGCTTGGTGGCCCCTCTGTACCCCTGGGCCTCAAGGCATTGTGTGAAAGGGCGACTGTCCTGGGCTCTTCACATCA